TTCTCTAGGCTTATCTTCTTCTTTCTTGTAACGATTTGTTTAGCTCTCAATTTCTTTCTCTCTCTCTGATCTTTTCACTTCTGATTCTCCTTCCCCATCTTGTGTGATGGTCCTCATATTTATGGAGGGCCATCAGGTGATAGGAATGTTTCATCTTCAATTTGAATTTTAAATTGAATGATAGCGCCATTTAAATTTTGAATAATAGCGCTATCTGATTAATCGTATATCTGATTAACCGGATTGATCTTTGGGGTTTCATCCTGTGTGGTGTCCTTGCTGTAGGCTCTACAGGTGTCATCTTTTGTAGGCTCCACGTGTCATTTGAGCATCTTGAATAACGTCGTTAAGATACGACGTTGTTTTATTTATACACTTTAACGAAGCAAGTTAATCATTTTGGGAAGTGATTGCCTACAACAATCTTATCGTAGGCTCTATGTGTGTCATTGACTGTACTTGAAATTTAAACTTAAATTTGGTTTGAAATTTATGTGCCAACAAATGCCCCTCGTGACTTGCACAAGTGAATTTTCTTAACTGTGCGAGTCACGACAATTTGGCACTTTTATCTGGATGATCTGTAGGTCTTGGGTGGGATTATTTCTTTGCTTTGGTCCCTAGCCTTTTTTTTTTTTTTTTTTTTGGGTTGACGGCTTTTTCATGAGCCCTTTTACTTTTGTTGCATGGGCCCTTTTTGTGGATTTGATTTTTTTTTTATTTTTTTATTTTTTTATTTTTTATTTTTTAAGGGTCATGAGTAAGGTCCAAGATTTAATTGGACGTTTCCTTTTGTGGACCTCCAACTTGCCACCATTTCTCTTTTTTTTTTTTTAGGCCATAATGAACCTTTCCTTTTCTAAGCCACCATTTTTAATTGGGCCTTTTCTTTTGTGAGCCTCCAACTTGCCACTTTTTTCTATACAACAGATTTTTTTTCCCTAGGCCATCATGGACCTTTCCTTTTCTAGGCCACCATTTTTTTTAATTGGGCCTTTTCTTTTGTGGGCCTTCAACTTACCACTTTTATTTTATTTTATTTTATTTTTATTTTTATTATTATCATTTTTTTTAGGAGATTTATATATATATATATATATTTAGGAGTTTGTCTATATGGAATAAGATGGGTTGGCATTGGTAAGATTTCTAATCCTACACAAACTCTTCTATGGAGTATTTCAAATCCTACATAAACTCTTGCTTCTTTGAAGTATTTTAGGAGACCACTACCTCTTTTCTTAAGCAAGATTTTTTACTTTATATAACACCTATTCATATATTTTTTCCTGCATCCCTTTTTTTTCCCTGCAGATTTTGTAGTGATATTAGGTCTTCATCCTTCTAGCACCTTTCCAGCAGAATTTATTCTTGGTGAACACAAAAGATTCCCTTCTAATCCCTTCATACTTCCAGCAGAAATTGTTCTTCTTATTCTTTTAAGAAAACATAAGGTCATAGCAAGTATGCTTTCCTTCTTTTTTCCTTTTTTTCTTTTTTTTTTTATGCAACTAGAATTTTTTTTTTGGCAACATGTATATCACCATGTGACAGCCCTTCTCAAAAATTTTTACTAGACCCTAAGTCCAAGTAGTCCCAACAAAGACCCTTCTTGAAAGGATGAGTCATAACCTACTGCCTTCTTTCATAAACAAAAGTTGTAGGCCCTTTTTTTTACCTAAACAAAAAACCTGCTGCCTTTCAAGCAGATTTTTCCTAGCCCAAAGTCCTTACTAGTAAGCATGAACAAAGACTCCTTTTTTTTATCTTTTTTTAAAGCTGAACCCCCCCTGTTTTTACTTGAAAGAATAAACAAGGACTTCTCTTCTTTTTTCTCCCCCCCTTTTTTTTTAAGCAGCAAGAATTTTTGTTTTGTTTTGTTTTTTTTTATTTTTTTATTTATTCTTATGATAGAACCAACCAACACAGGTTGCTTTGCCTATCATTCGGGGAACAAACTAGCACAAGATTTACAGAGTTTGATTACTCTGTTTTGTTGCTGCTATGTTTTTTTAAAAAAAACATGAGCCCAAACAAAGACTTTTCCTGTTTTTTTATGATAACAGGAAAAATTATTTTTTACAGCAGCAACCTATTCGTTGCAGAATTTTTATTTTTTTATTTTTTTTCAAACTGTTTAGCAGGTTTTTCTTTTTAGACCATGAATCTAAATAGGCCAAACAAAGTTTCAAAAATTTTTTTTTTTTAAGCTTGCTACCTTGTATTTTATTTTGTATTAGTAGCAGCCCTTTATACAATTGGCCAAATTTTTTTGTTAAAAGTCAAATCAGCCTTGCCCCCTCGTGATTGGTACAAGTGAATTTTAATTGTACGAATCATGATGACTAATTTCACTTTTTTTTTTTTTTGTTAACAATTATTTCATATCTTTTTATCTCTTTTGCAGGCAACACGCAAGGCGTCATAGTTTGTTTGCAGGTATCATTGCCCCTTCTAGCCTAATGGCAATGAGTGGTTTGAATCATTGGCAGTGATTGTGTCCTTTCACCCCAATGGCTTGAATCCTTGGCAGTGATTATGTCCTTCACCCCAATGGGTTGAATCTTTGGCAGTGAATGTGTCCGTCACCCCAATGGCTTGAATCCTTGGCAGTGATTGTGTCCGTCACCCCAACGGCTTGAATCCTTGGCAGTGATTGTGTCTTTCACCCCAACGGCTTGAATCCTTGGCAGTGATTGTGTCCGTCACCCCAACGGCTTGAATCCTTGGCAGTGAATGTGTCCGTCACCCCAACGGCTTGAATCCTTGGCAATGATTATGTCTTTCACCCCAACGACTTGAAACCTTGGCAGTGATTGTGTCCGTCACCCCAACGGCTTGAATCCTTGGCAGTGATTGTGTCCGTCACCCCAACGGCTTGAATCCTTGGCAGTGATTGTGTCCGTCACCCCAACAGCTTGAATCTTTAGCAGTGAATGTGTCCGTCACCCCAATGGCTTGAAACCTTGGCAGTGATTGCGTCCTTCACCCCCAATGGCTTGAATCCTTGGCAGTGATTGTGTCCGTCACCCCAACGGCTTGAATCCTTGGCAGTGATTGTGTCCGTCACCCCAATGGCTTGAATCCTTGGCAGTGATTGTGTCCGTCACCCCAACGGCTTGAAACCTTGGCAGTGAACGTGTCCGTCACCCAACGGCTTGAATCCTTGGCAGTGAACGTGTCCGTCACCCCAACGGCTTGTGTCCTTGGCAAGGGGTTTTCATCAATTTCTTTATATTATGACATTTTGCCTCAACTAACCTCTTTGAGGCCCAATACCATGAGAAGAAGCTTCATTTCGACAAGGTTTCTAGCAAACATGAACAGTTGTTTGCTTCAATTATCAAGTCGGATGAGCACATTGCAGGTCTTAATCAAAGGTTTATTCAAACCAAAGAGTTACTCAAACAACTTGAAGAGGAATTGTCATCCACCCAAGCGGAACATGCATCCTTTATGTGTGATTTTGCACAAGCTTCCGAGAGTGTTTCTAAATCAGAAGAAGACGTGCAAACTGCTCTGAATGTTTTGAGCCAACACAAGAAGAAGAATGGACAACACAGTGAACGTGCCTTTGAAAGGGCTAAGGCTTCTCTTAATGAATGAATGCACTTTTTATTTTGTTATTCATCCGAACATAATGTATTTATGAAACTTCGCTCAGTGATGGATTTATTTGTTTTTCGAAATTTCTAAATACAATACATTGATTTGTCTTATTTTAGCCGCACACAATAGATTTATTTGTTATATGAAATTTCTCAATACAATACATTTATTTGTCTTATTTTGGCCGTACACAGTTTATACTCTTGCGGGCCAAGAGTATCCAATGTTTTATCACCTTAGATTTCAGTGAGGTATTTTAGCAGTTTAACCACATACAATACCGTTGGTGGTTTTTGACTTTTGTTTGGCAGTACACAGTTTATACTCTTGCGGGCCAGGAGTATCCAATGTTTTACCACCTTAGATTTCGATGGGATATTTTAGCAGTTTAACCACATACAATACCGTTGGTGGTTTTTTTTTTTTCTTTTTTCTTTTTTCTTTGCCCTAACTTTTACCTAGGCCGCCCTTTCGGGTTTTCAACCTAGCAGGCTTTCTTAAGGGTAATATCTCTTAAAGAACCTTGCATTGGTTGGGGGAATGATTCTGTCACCATCCATCGTTATCAATAAATAGGCCCCATTAGAATAAACCTTCTCAATCACATAAGGTCCCTCCTATTTGGGCTCAAGCTTTCCTTTGGTTCTTCGTGAGACTACTATGGGTGTTCTAACCATTAGTACCAAGCCTCCATTTTTAAAGGAACGAAGCCTCACTCTTTTATTGAATGCATTTGTCATCCTTTGTTGGTAGATTTCCAAGTTCTGTTGAGCGTACAACCTTCTTTCATCCAGGGTCTCCAGCTCAGCCAACCTCACTCTTGCACTTTCATCTTCTGTTAAGGACTCTTGTATTGCCACTCGTAATGATGGTATTTGAACCTCAAGTGGTAACACTGCTTCTCCTCCAAAAACCAACGAATAAGGGGTTGCTTGAGTAGGAGTTCTGTGCGAAGTCCGATAAGCCCACAAAGCTTCTTGTAACTTTTCATGCCAAGCTTTTTTGTTCTTATCCACCATCTTCTTAAGAATTTTGCACAATGTCTTGTTGAAAGCTTCTGCCAAACCATTGGCAGGTGCATGATATCTTGATGAATGGTTGTTTTTAATTTTGTACTTGGCAAATAACTTGTTCAAAGCATCACTCCTGAATGGCTGTCCATTATCCATGATGATACTTTCTGGAATCCCGAACCTGTAAATGATATGGGTTCGGATGAACTCAGAGAAAACTGTGCTTTTTATATCCTTTAAAGCCACGGCCTCTGCCCATTTGGAGAAATAGTCAGTTGCAGCTAGGATGTATCGATATCCTGTTGAAGATGGAGGTACAAAAGGACCAATAATGTCCATACCCCATGATGCAAATGGCCAAGAAAAACTTGTTAAATGTTAAGGCTTTGGGGGTTGGTGGAGAAAGTTCCCATGGAATTGGTAAACTTGGCATCTTCGAGCATAATCTATGCAATTTGCAATCATAGTCGGCCAATAGTATCCCAACCGTTTTAGCTGCATATGTAATTTAGGACCACTTTGGTGTGCCCCACATACACCTGCATGTATTTCTTGTTGGAGGTAAGCTATGAATGGTTCCCGCCAATCTTCCTCGTTTTCTCCTTTCGTGGTGACAACCAAGATTGGAACCAAGTCGGAAACCTCTTTTAAAGGTTGTAACACCCTTCTTTCACCTACTGTGATAGTAATTGTTTTGCTATCTGGTAGGGTGAGTGATGCAGCCAAACTTGCAAGTGAATCAGCTCGAGCATTTGTTCTTCTCTTCACATGGAAAATATGTGTTTTTCTGAATTGCGAAAGCAATTGATCAGCCCTTTCATGATACAGGATGGGATTTGTTTTCTTAACAATGTATTCTCCACGGAGTTGCTTTACCACCAGTTCCGAATCTCCATAAATTGAGAGTTCTTCAATAGGAATTTGTAATGCCAATTCTAATCCAGCAATTACAGCTTCATATTCTGCCTCATTATTGGAGCATTCTTCACTTAAGGCGAAAGAATGGGTGATTATAGCGTTGTCTGAAGTCACAAACACAATTCCAATTCCAGCTTTATTGTTTTTAGGATTTTCTTGCTTTTTGCCATCTGGACTCCTTGAAGCTCCATCAAAATACATCTTCCATCCTTTCTGAATTTCTACTTGCATAACCTCTTCATCTGGTAAATCAGTTACTAGAGGTGAGTCATCAGGTATAGGATGTGCTGCCAAAAAATCTGCTAGAGCCTGCCCCTTTACAGCTCTTTGGGGAACATATTCTATTGCGAATTGTTGGAGAATTACAGCCCACTTTGCAATTTTCCCTGAAAGTATGGGCCGTGAAAGTATATATTTCAAGGGGTCTGCTATTGATATCAACTTGACTTCGTGTTCAAAGACATAGTGCTTTAGTTTTTGTAAGGCGAACACCAAGGCAAGACATGTCTTTTCGATAGGGGAGTAATTGACCTCTGCCCCAACCAAAGTACGACTCAAGTAATACAAGGCATTTTCTTTCTCATGCTCATTATGTTGTGCCAACAATGCCCCTAACGAACCATCCAAGGCTGTTGTATACAACAAAAGTGGTTTTCCTTTTATTGGGCTCATAAGTACTGGAGGCTTCAAAAGATACTCCTTAATACTATTAAAAGCATTTTGGCATTGCTGATTCCATTCAAATGGAACACCCTTTTTCATCAATCTTGAGAACGGCAAACATCGACCAGCCAAGTTAGAAATAAATCTTCTGATATAGGCCAATCTCCCTTGTAGCCCCTTCAATTCCCTTAAATTTCGTGGAGGAGGCATTTCGGCAATGGCTTTAATCTTGGTAGGGTCAATTTCAATCCCTTTGTTTCGAACCACAAACCCAAGAAATTTTCCTGATGAAACTCCAAATGCACATTTTAGTGGGTTCATCTTGAGTTTGTACCTCCTCAAACGTTCGAAGATTTTTCTCAAATCTTCCACATGGTTTTCTTTTTCATTTGTCTTGATGACAAGATCATCAACATAGCATTCGATGGTGTCATGGAGCATATCACCAAAAATTACAGTCATCGCCCTTTGATACGTGGCCCCAGCATTTTTCAGGTCAAAAGGCATTACCTTATAGCAAAAGACTCCTCTCGGAGTCCTGAATGCAGTCATTTCTTCATCTTTAGGTGCCATTCGGATTTGATTGTATCCTGAGTATCCATCCATAAAAGACAAGGTTTTATACCTAGTAGTTGCATCTACAAGAAGTTCAGTGATGGGCAAAGGAAAGTCATCTTTAGGACAAGCCTCATTGAGATCACGGAAATCAATGCAAACCCTGATTTGACCATTTTTTTTTCTTGACTGGCACTATGTTTGCTAGCCAGGTTGGATATTTGACTTCTCTGATGAATCCTGCATTGATAAGCTTATCGACTTCGGCTTCAATTTGGGCTGTAAGCTCTGGTCGAGTTCGCCTCTGAGGCTGTTTAACTGGCCGTTTCTCAGGGTGAATTGCAAGCTTATGGACTGCAATCTCTAGATTAAGACCAGGCATCTCACTGTAGTTCCATGCGAATATGTCATGATACTCCCTTAAAAAGGAAATATATTGCCGAGCTTCTTTTTCCTTTAAATTTGCACTAATGAAGGTTGGTTTGTTTTCTCCTTCATCACCCAGATTTATTTCACGAAGGTCATCCACGGTGGCTTGGCCTTCTGCTTCAAATTCTGTTGGTGCAGGTTGAGCTTCATATTGGTCAACATCTTCCAACACATCTTGAGTGATAGTCATGTTTACTGGAAATTTTTCCTCATTCCCCTGATAGCCTAACCCCTCTGTCCTGGTGGTGATAATACCGCCTTGTTGGATAGCCTGCCTCTATGAAGGTGTTAATGCAAAGTCAAAGGGTGTCATTGTTCCTGGTATTTTTTCAGGATCTAAACCAACTTTTACCAACATCTGTGTGATTTCTGCACTGAATGTAGGCTTCTCAAAACTCGAGATGTTTTCTTCTGGCATTTGTTCAACTTTCACTTTCTGTTCAACATCTCCAAGCGAGTGGAATATGATGGGTTTCGACCCTTTTCCTTTAGAAGGGACCACAATCTTATTATATTTTTCCACATAGGTGCATTCTGTCCTCCTTAATGGCAATGTGAACTCACCCTTGAGATCCAAAATTGGATTTATTGGGGCTAGAGCCTTTGCCCCCAGTTTCCTTTCGGATTTTGGCACATATCGAAAAGTTCTTTTTGTTGAAACTGGAGTAGACTCTAGAGCGTCTTTGACATTCGAAGTATCTTCAGACTTCTTCACATCTTTTCCCTTTCTTTGTGAAGTCTTTGTATAGAAGCGAGCATCAGCATAGTAGGCCTCTACTTCTCCAAATGGATCATTGTCAGCCACAATTGTCCCCTCTTTTTTGGGTGAAGGCAACGGGTACTTAATACATTGGTGATAAGTTGATGGCACTGCATGATGATTATGCATCCATGGTCTCCCAAGCAAAGCATTGTAAGAGGTGTCTACATCAATAACCAAGAACTCAGTGCTTTCTTCAATATCTCCAAACTTGGTTTGTAATTCAATTTTCCCCATTGGGTGTTGCTCATTCTGATTAAATCCTTGAATGACCAAACGACTTGGGCAAAGTTGTGAAATTCGAACCCCTAATAAATTTAAGGCCCTCCGAGGCAGAAGGTTCACCACAGATCCTCCATCAACGAGAATTCGAGAAATTTTCACATCATGGATAAGCTCAATGATAAACAAAGGCCGATTATGGTCTGTCATTTCAGCACACATGCCTTTATGCATGTAGTTGCCTTCTCTTGATTGCTACCCTCAATTTCTTTGTGGAAATCCTCTGGCTTGGACAGGGCATATATTAAAGACTTTCGAAGCTCTGGAGACATTTTTAGTGCATCATATACGCTCAACAATGCTGGAATTTTCTTTAGATGAGCTAGTACATCATATTTCACTTGCTCTTCCTCCAGCAAAACTTGTGGAACTTCCGACGTTTGAGGGTCCTGAGGATTTCGTAATTTCCTCCGGTAGGTCAAGTAAGTCTGGCATACTTTCAGCAACCGCCTTTCGTTGACCTCAACTTCTTTTATTCCCTCACTTATTTGGACCATGTTAACTGGTCCAGCTGCAGGGTGATCATCATTATCAATCACTTCTCCATCTTCTTGGAGCTACATTCTTCTCCCATTTCTTAGGTACCGGGAGTCACGCCTATAAAAGCATTGAGATTCTTCAGAACCATTCTTCATGGCCTCCCAGCTAGGCACCACGACTCCATCGAGGGAGCAATACCAGTCAAAGGCGATCCCCTCTAAGGAAAGGGGGAATTGTTTTAGGCAAAGTGCTTCATTTTGAGCTGTTTCCCCACACTGTTTCAAAAAATGCCTAATATGTTTTTGAGGATCTCCATACCCTCATATAGGACAAAATTTGGAAGTTCATATCCTTCAGGAAATGGTGTTTGCTCTACCCATAAAGGGAACAAATCCCTTGGGCGATAAGTGCCCATCTCTCGAAGGTCAAGGGTAGTTTCAATCTTCTCCTCAATTGTGCCTTCTATGAAATCATATGTTTGAGAAGATGTACCTTCGTCATCCAAATGTTCTGACATCTCAATTTCTATTGGCCATGGTTTATAAAATGTCTTATAAAATCGATCAGCCATGGTGTCCCAATCTGGGATTGAATTAGGTGGCAGGCTGAAGTACCAATCTGTTGCCCATCCTTCCAAAGAAAGAACGAACTGCCGTAGAAGTAACGCCTGGCATTTTACTGTGTTTCCACATTGTGTAAGGAAACGAACCAAATGGCGCCTTGGACAACCTGTCCCATTATATAAAGAAAAATGAGGTACTGCATATCCTCGTGGGAACTGAACCCATTCGACCCAATTAGGGAAAGGGTGTCCAGAAATTTGATTTCTTTCAATACTCAAATTTTGATGGGCTTCAAAACCCTCATCTTTCAAAGAGACTGTTACTTTTACCTGATGTTTCGTTTCCCTTCTAGCTTCAATTTTTGCTTTCTCATCATCACCTGGATTGTGAATGATATGTATTTTTCGCTCTTCAAAATTTATGTCCACAGTGATGACATTACAAGGAAAGTCAAAGTGGTCACTTGATATACTTTCTCCATCGTATGTCCTAGCTGGGGATGTGTATGGTGAATCATCAGGGGAAAAGTCAAGTTCTCAATCTTCATTAGGATCCTCAACTTGAGATGACTTTGCTTGTTTACTTGAATGCTTCCATACTTTATCATCCGACTTACACCTGCCATTCACCTCATCATCCTTGAAATGTAGTCGTTTTTTCGCCTTTTTACAAGCTCAGAGTCGAACCTACACCCAGTGTCTCTTTGTTCTGTTCCCCTTACATATTCTGGAGTGCTTTGATAGTACATTGGTGGTACTGGTGAATACTCTGGAGAAAAGGCTTCTGGTGTATACTCTGGAGAAGCTGGTGTATATTTTGGAGAGGCTGGTGTGTATTCTGGAGAAGTTGGTGTATACTCTGGTGAGTCAGGTATACAGATAGGAGATGTAATGCAATCCCCTTCCCTAACTTTTGAACCAACTTCACCCTCATCTTCTTCGCCATCACTCAAAACAATGATGGTTAGGCAAGGGGCCAAGTAAACTTTTCCTCCCTTCTTTTATCGAAGTATGTCTGTAACTCCACGGATTGAAATTTTGAAGGTAGAAATTCCTCCAATGTGACTGAGACAAGGGGACCTTGCTTTAATTGCTCATCAGGGACCAATTTCTCCCCTTTTTCCTTCTTTGGGTTCTTATATCCTTGTCTCTTACTTACTTTAGCTTTTTCTGTTTCCTAGAAACTTTTGGTTTTTGCTTTTTGGAAACTTTTGGCCCTTATATTGTTGAATCAACCACACTTCTAGCTTTCACTGTGGCATTTTGTTTTTTCTTCATGCTTTTTGACTGATAAACAACCCATTCACCTTCATTATCATTGTCGATAGTGATTGGGTTAGCAGATGCTTTCTCTTGAGGAGGGAGTTCGATAATTTTAGAGTCCAAAAGTTCTTGAATTTTATCTTTTAGAACAAAGCACTCTTTTATCGGATGGCTAATCAAACGATGATAGGGGCAATACTTTGGATCATTGGTCTTTCCTACCTCATGTGGTCTTTTCACCTCAGGGAGAGCAATCAACTTTTGCTCCAACAGATCTTCAAATAGGTCTTCGACCAGATCATCCATGAAAGAATACTTCTTCTCCAACCTCTCTTTCATAGTCGCCTTTTTAAATTCCTTAGGCTTTTTAGCCCCTACTACAATGGGACCCTTTTTTCTGGTTTCGATTGTAGCTGCAGTCGAGGACTCAACCCTTTCAACGGCCCTAAGCCTCCTTCGTTTAGCTAGATGCAGCTCCATATCATGACCTTTAGTGCATAGATCATTGAATCCTTCAAAAGTTTGAGCCATAAGAGCCGTAGAAAGCTCATGTCGGAAGTTGTTAAGGCACATCCGAATTAACTCTAATTGTGTAAACTTTTGAGGACAAGCAAATGTCAAAGCTCACCATCTTGCAATGAAATCTGTAACAGACTCATTGTCACGTTGCTTGGTCTCAATCAGTTCTGGTACTCCAACTCGTCTTTGTGTGTTGCAGAACTGTTTAAGGAACTCCTTCACCATGGAATCCCAATTTAGGATTGATCCCTTAGAAAGATTAGCATACCAAGCAAATGTAGAACTTTCAAGCGATTGGACAAATAACTGCAGGCACAGGGCCTCATTCTGGACTATTGGCCCGCATCTTGAAAGGAAATGAGCCACATGTTGTCTTGGATCTCCTGTTCCATCAAACATTTTAAAATTTGGTTGGGAAAAATCAGAAGAGAATGGAACAGCATCTACCCATGCTGGGTAAGGTTTTGTAATTATTCAAAAATTCTCATCATCTTTTTTTTTGACTTTCTTTACTTATCTCCTCACCATATTATCAATCATGGCCATGAGCAATGGATTCATACCACCACTAGTTAGATCGGAGTAACAAGGACCATTGCCCCCTGGGGCTAGTGTGCTTTGTATGCCTAGGGATGTCCCCACAACAGGTTGTGTCATTTGTTTGGGTGCACTTCCTGGTCCTGTCATTTGGGCCTGTAACTGTTGCATTTGCTCCAACATAGTAGCCATTTCCCGTTCTCTTCTCTCAAGTTGTTCTTGTAGGACCACCACTTTTTCCTTAAGACCTTGGTCTTGATGGACCTGCGAATTTTCACCTTCTTTCTCAACCTCAGTCATCATAACTGCGACTCTGTTGATATCTTTCAATTCATTGTTTCCAATATTCGTTGAAACAAACGAGATAGAATCATCTTGTTCGTATAAAGGATTATTAACCCCCACAACATTACTCATATTTGAAGCATTTGACTGCGATGCTTTGTTTTGAGCCTGACGGGTTATGGACCTTGTTACAGGCCCTTTTCTTATTCCCTCCATAGATAGTTCAACCAAAGTAGAAATATTTGCCAAGGGTTGCTTACCCTCCTCCACCCTAGATTTTCCAACAAAGACAGGACTTTCAATTTGTTTTTGGGGTTCATCTTTTGTGAGAGCCCTTTCAATAGCTCCTATAACATTTGTTGCCACTGTTCTTAGTTCCAGTTTCTTTAAGGCCTTATTTCTTCTTCGCCTTTGTCTTTTCGAAACTAGACCGGATGACATATCAAGTCGAGCCCCTAAGGGCATAGAAGGAACCACTTGTGCCTTTGTAAATTCCTCATGA